GTATTTAAATTTTTTATTGATCCGTTTTCCCAATTAAAGTCATATGCATTAGAACAATCAATTTTCTATTGTTATTGTACACATCCTTTAGAGTGTTTAATTTATTTTATTTTATTTGTTTATGTTTAAAAAAAGAATCAATTGAGAGGAACACAACGAACAGAACGAAAGAAATTGTTGTGCGAAGAACAGAACGAAAAAAAAATTGTTCTGCGAGGAAGTGTCGTGCGACGAAATGTACTAGTGCCTGGACATTGTACCAAGATGTTAGGGAGTATTGCCTGTACTGTTCTTAGAACACTTCTTGCTAGCGATAACCTTCTTCCTTATCACAGGGTAATATATAATTTTTTCTCATTCTGCGCACGAGAAATAAATAAAATAAACTCGTTTACTAACGGTGTATTGGACAAAAATTGACTAGAACCAAAATTTCTTGGCGATACTGTCAAAAAATAGCTTTTTTTAAGGGACATATTAGAAGACCCCTCTTGTAACTTATGAACGATAAGACAAAATAGAAGACCCCGGGTCTTCTAATGTGTCGGAGGCTTTAAAACGCGATGTTATTTTTGTTTACAAATCAAACAAATAAAATAATAGATATAAGCATACCGCAACCCAGTTGCCACTCGCTAGTAACACATGAGCAGTAATAACTACTGATGGTTAGCAAAAAAATGAGTAATAGTGGCACTACCCAGTGAGAACGGAAAAAAATCGTTAAAACGTGGGTGTGGGTCTTCTGCTCTTCACACCCTAAATAAAATAGTGTGTGATTGTTACAATGATTGTAATTGTCGAAGAATTTTCAAATTAAATGTTGATCTATAGAAAATAGATTTTCTTTTTGCAAATAAAATGAACCGTTGACAATAATTTAAAAGTTTTTGAATTATTTATGTCTTTTTCTCTCAATAGATTAAAATTATTTTCAATCAATATGTTCTAACCTCGTATACTTAGTCGGAAGTAAAACAATATAGTTCTATGTTTATACGTTCAAAAGTAATTAATCTAATTAGAAGTATTTAGATAAAAAAGAATTTTTGAAAACTCGACAATCAGTTCATGTTGAGTATGACTTATCGGCGGCATAGTAGACAGTAAATGACATAAAGAATAATCAATGAAAGTTGGATCTGAATTGGATTAGAACTAGCTGTACCGTTCACAAAATACAGTGTCATTGGTTTTTCGGTAAGTTCCTACTTATTTTATACTCTATTTTTTATTCAATTGGAATAATTTTTTCCCAGAATGAAACTTAGAGAAAAGTCATTGGTTTTCAACAGTTTTCTTTTTCATCTTAAAATGTTTCGTTAAGTTGACAGTAGAAACTATTTCTATGTATGTAATGATTAATTTATGAGCAAATTTTTCCAGAATTGAACTTGGATTTTGGAATTTGTTTTGAGTATGATAGATTAATGATAATTGCATTTTTTCCAATATAACGAAATTTGAAAAAGAGCATTTTCGATCATCTCTGGTAGGCATAGATGTCTATCGCGGCTGAGAATCTGCCGCTGCCACAATTGTATTTTTGAAACATCTCTTGCATCATGATGGTTTAAAAAAGTATGCAACGTTTGATGAAACAAAAGTGTTGAATCATTCATACGACTAATATAGTGTAGAAATGATATGTGTACATTCTACAAATTCATCTTACTAAATCCGATCGATTTCGATCAACTCCTGCAATCACAACGTCATTCTATCTTATTCTTATAATTGTTTATGATCGTAAATCGCTTATCTGTTGTCGATCTTACGATGGATCGTGTTATATCATCAAGAAATGATGATAAATTAACTCAATTTAAGCTCTTTGCATCGCCACAATTCACTTCTAATCTTACAACATCATGTGAAAAATTTACTATGTATATACTTTATTTCTATTATGTCTAAAATATTATTTGCTTCGTAGCTTGTGAGAAATATTTATCTGAACGTGCAATTCAGCAAGAAATAAAATTTATTATTTCCTGGACTATATAGGATAGAAAAAGTTTACCGTTACTTCGTTGTTAGGACGGATGCTGCTCGAATCTAATCCAGCATGATAAAAGATATTCAGCATGTAGATGTTTGCTGTGTGTCATCGGGCGTTGCGAATAGGATAATCAAAATGAGACGTAATATGATTAGAACCAGGGATGCCAAATCATAATTTCAAAAAACAGTAGTTCTTCTTTTGAAAATCAGCATTTCGTCAGGAGAATTTTTTTCAAATCAGGAGTAAAATCAGGAGATTTTCTTTTCGAAATCAGGAGTTCCTTGTTAGGTTTTATCTGACAAAATGCAAGTTTCCACTAGTCTACACAGTTCTCGTTCCCAAATCAACAGGATTTACTCTGTTGTTGAAGGAAAAAATCTCTTGTAAATGAAATAAATAAAGCAAGATTATTCATTTCATTTAATGTTTATTTCCATATTCACGTCGACACTAC